TTGTATTTTTGCTGTATTATACTATTATAATAAATAGTATACCATACGGTCTACTGAAATTACAAATTACGTATCTAAATTAATTTTCAAAATATGTATAAACTTTACCAGATAAAACAGACAATAAACGCATTTTACAAAACACATAATAAATAACTAAGCCTAATAAAATTATCTTGAATAATTTGTCTACAAGGACCAACCTGCAAAAATATAAATAAATAATTAATAATTGAAAGATAGGTTATCAATATGTGAGTAAAGGGTTAGAAGAAAAATAAACAATAAAATTATCGATATCCTAATAGCACAAAGAATATTCATATTAACGACTTTCAGTGGCGTAGCCAGCCATTTTTCATGGAAGGAATTTTTGAGAACTATGGAGAGAGTTCCATCAAAAAAGTGAATAAAAATAAATAGTGACGTTGGGACCCGTTCATATTAGAAACTACTGGTTTGTTTCAACTTCAATACGCCGTATTGTCTCTCAAGTGACTGCAACCACATACTTTGATTTTCTTTTACTATACGGAGAATGGTCGCACTGCGCAGGTTTCTGAGTGCCTTTTAAAAGGAGATAGAAAACTCCGCCATTTTGAACCCTTATTACGTGTTGCCTACATCTTGGCGCAATATTTTTAATAGGTGCGTTTTAATCATCCGCTTCTGCTTCGGAATTGCCGGTTTTCTTGTTTTAATTTGACAAGTTAAAACGACTAAACCGACAATTCCGGAAGCAGAAGCGGATGATTAAAACGGATCTGATATTTTGCTTGCGGCTGTCACTATCAGTGAATATTATTTTTTGAGTCACAGATTATTGCTAAAGAATCAGTTAGCTCACTCGGGCCAGTTGAAAGTTTCAAAATAAGATCCACTCCAGGGATACAAATTTAGGATACGCAGAAGACTGCTGTTTTATTATAGGCGGTTGTTATATATATGGTGCAAGAGAGAGGTCCGACACGCCCAACATAGGGCGCGGCCATTTTGATGCCTTTACCACAGTTTATAGCTAAAGAATCAGTTCGATCACTCTGCGTCGGCACTTTTGATCTCAATTTTCCAGTTTATACATTTCGCAACTTGGATAATACAATATATGACAACCGCCTATAATAAAACAGCGCATCCTGGATTTGTATCCCTGGAGTGGATGTTATTTTGGAACTTTCAACTGGTCCGAGTGAGCTAACTGATTCTTTAGCAATAAACTGTGACTCCAAAAATAATATTCACTGATACTGACAGTAGCAAGCAAAATTTCAGGTGCGTTTTAATCATTCGCTTCTGCTTCCGGAATTGTCGGTTTAGTCGTTTTAACCTGTCAGACTAAAACAAGAAAGCGACAATTCCGAAGCAAAAGAGGATGATTAAAACGCACCTATTAAAAATATTGCGTCAAGATGTAGGCAACACGAAATAAGGCATCAAAATGGCGGAGTTTTCTATCTCCTTTTAAAAGGCACTCAGAAAGCTGCGCATTGCGACCATTCTCCGTATAGTAACAGACTGCAAAAAGTGGCACGTCGTGTTATTGTATTTTGATGTTTACTTTTAGTTAGGTTCTTAGATAATATCGGAGGTGAGTTCGGGCTGCGCACTCCAGAGTGGAATGTAGTAATTAGGCGTAAACGGAGTGCGAATATGATTTTACTCCTTTAACTCTCGGAGTGCAATGTCAGTTGTCAATGTGACATACCAGTACTTAAAATTTAATCGTACTTATCAGTAACGACCGTATACATTTCTTCCATATTAATGATATTCACGGGAACCAAAAAAACAATTTATTTACAAAAGAATCACTCACAATTAACTTATTATCAATTTAAATCACCTTATGCGCATGCCCGATCCACACTCCACTCCACCATCTCCGAACGGTCAAAGAGGAACTTTTATTTTAACTCCTTCCGTACCCGAACGCCTTAGGTACTTTAGGAGTGAATATAGTGAAAAGAGTGCGTAGACCGAACTCACCAAATAGCAGATAGGCCACCACTGCATAAAGTTATACAATATTAATGTCGCTATCATATTATCAGTATCTCTCTTTCTAATGCAGGCTTTCTCACTCGTTTTAGAATTCTCAGCAGTAGCGTACCGTAAAACAATTTCGCTGGGTCATTTTAAATGCGAAAATGTTGACCAAATAGAATATAAAATAAAATGTTTTAAAAGGTAGGTAGGTGCATTTTTAATGAAGTGAAAACAATACATGACTTTTTTGTTATGAATATAATATTAATAACAATTACTTTTAACACCACAACACGAACAAATTTAAATTAAACACTGTCTGAGAAAAGCTTTGTAAAACTGACAAATACAAACAAAGAGATAGAGATATTAATCTATTTCTCTCTAATTAGAATTCTTGACCATATTATCATGGCGACACAAACATTGTTTACTGTCCTCTTTTTACTACTTACTTACTCTGAGGTTAGGTTCAGGGAAGTGAGGTTAGGAAGTTTAACGATATGTCAAAAGAGTTACTGCTAGAGGGCAGGGCTGGTGAATCCAAGGAGGTTGCGACATAGGCTTCCATCTTGGACAATATTTTTATTTGAAATATTAGTTGCCAAGCCTGCCAATTTAGGAAAAATGTATAAGCGTTATATTTAATGATATTTTCATGGCATTCGTCATAAAATGGGCATTTTTTTGGAATAAAATATTTAAATTTAATCATGATTTCACGTGTTGTAGATAAAATACATCGTATACCGTAACCCTTTAAATATACCAACCCTTCCCTTCGACAACCATTTTTTTTTGGAATGCCTAATACCATTGTATTTAAGCCATATTCAAGTGGTCGACTGGTTTAAATATATTTCATGGGGTTTGAAAACGGTTTGAACTATTCCCATTCGGGTAACCAAACAATGCCGTCACGTTGAATTAGGTTTAAACCAGCTGCATCTGTTTTTGAAACTTTTCATTAAAAACGGTTCAAGGAAATACAAATGTCACTATTGTCAAAAATAGTAACGGGCATCATAGAGCATAGCATCCATAATGAAATTAATGATAAAAATTATTATTTATGATTATAAAAAAAATTATAAAATGCATAATTATGAAGGTTTATAATTTTTAATAATTTTTGAAAACTTGCAATTCTAAATAACTGGTTAAAGTCGGATTCTTCAACATAAAAAATATTATCTGTTGCTAGAGATTTATACACTCACAAATCGTTAACTGTTAGTGACATCACTGTTTTAAAATCAATTTGGAGTTGATTTACTTATACTATTATCGTATATCATGTTTAAGGGGCAGAAATGAATAGGAGGTCACGATGAATGACAGCGGGGGTTTAACAGAACAAATATCCAGCACGTATTCCAATATACGTTTAAATACTTACATAACCTGTTTTTTAACCATTGCTTCTGTTGCAGGTGGTTCTTTTGCAAAGTACTTTCTTATTCCTTTAAAATAGATTTCTAAACACTCATCGTGAATTTTTTTAGAAGCGTTTGGACCAAAATTCACTATACTAAATTCGTTACTGTCTTGTTGTAAAATACTTTTTCTTAATTCCATATAGTTTTCATTTTTAAATATCCATGTATTCTTCATAAACGGGGCCAAACAGCTCATAGCAATAAATAATTTACGATTCACCTTCCATAGCCTAAAAATGTAAAGGTCAATTAATTTTATATAGTCTATCAGAGGGTGGGTAGCTCAATGGTTAGAGTCTGGACTTAAAAATAATTCTGATGCGTTGGTTGGACTCCCCACTCCAAACATTTACCGTTGGGTTCTAATATTAGTGCTGTTCCTGAAGTGGGGCTGGGAAACAGTCACTAGGACTGTCGTGGATATTAAAATAATTCAACATTATGCCTGGCGCCGTCTCTGGCTTTTTTATTTTTCCGAAACCAACAAGATGTTTACGTCACCCTTTCTCACTGCGATAGAGCTAACCTTCAGAAACCAATAAATAACATTGTAACGAAAGTATAATTGATCAATACTAACGGACGGGATGATAACGCTAACCGACGCTACTAAGCCATCTCGATTCTTCGCGTTTAACCAGAACTTTTTCTCACATCACCGAAGCAACAGTTTCTCGTATGGCTTAAAAATTCAAGCTTTTTTCCTTGTACAATAAATAACTATTTCTATGCACCCACGAGGCACCCACAGATCAATTTTCTGCACAAACTACCTAATGAATGTGGGTAGGCCATATCAGTCTACTAAATGGATATAATTTCATATCCATTCTAAGCACCTTATCATATAGAGGTCAACAATAATATAATTATAGGTGCTTATCACACCCCTAGTAAAAATCTAATAGGTAGAGATCTGCACATACTGATGTCGAAAGGAAACAGGGTTCTTCTTGCAGGGGAACTTAATGCTAAACATCCGAAATGGGACGCTAATTGTGTCATCCCCAACCCCAGTGGACTGCTACTGAAAGACTTCGCTGAAGCGAACGGTTACATAGTACAATACACCGACGAACCGACCTTTTTTCCATCCTGCGCGACTCACACCCCTAGTACACTGGATATAGCACTAGTCAAAAATATTCCAGACATCCGAAACATGCGAACAATAACCACCCTAAGTTCAGACCACGATCCAGTCTTGGAAATCTGGACTACTCAAAAAATACCCCGACAATATAGGCAATATTACGACTACAAATCGACAAATTGGGCAAATTATAGTAACGAACTAGACAAATTAATTAAAATCAATAATAAAATTTCATCGAAATAGTATATTATGCAACGATCATGTAATGATGGTTATTAATACACGAGCATTAACCGGGATACGAAACGAGCCAAAGGCGAGTTTCGTATGGTTTATGCGAGTGTTTTAATAACCATTACATGAGAGTTGCATACGCTATTTTTTCTACACCCGATAAATAATCAAGACCTATAAATATTCTATTTATATTGGTATTGAACACAATAACAGTAATTACTCGTATTTCTATAAAAAATTCTACAAAATTGTAATTAATGGTATTACCTTGGGTACTGGTATTACCACAGATTTTTGGGGCAAAATATTTTGTACTGCATTTTCTCCTTTCTCCTATATGTGTGGAGGAGTGTTCTATATCGCTGATATCAGACATTTTAATATTATAATTATCGAAGTTTAGCTATCTACGAAAATTTAATACGTTTTGACAACTAAAACAATTACATAGGAATTTAGGACAAACGTCAAACATCATGCTTGATTGAAAAATTGTAGGTTTCTATTGATTAAAAATCTGTATCATAATGAAAAATCTGTATCATAATGGTTTGTGTAGAAAAGCTGTCGTGAAGCTCCACCATATAAATAATGGCATTTTCAAGCTACAACACTATTCCAGTGGTTTGAAAATGGCAAATATTATCCCAATTCTAAAGCCAGGCAAACCGGCCAATAAGATCGATAGTTACCGATCCTTACTGAATACAATAGCTAAAATAACTGACACTGTAATTTTGAATAGACTTAAAAAAGTCGAAAAACGACTACAAATTATCCCACGGGAACAATACGGTTTCAGAGAGGGACACAGTACCGTATCACGAGTACTTCGAGTTGCGCATCACGCTTTAATAATGACCGTTCTAGTCACCTTAGATTGCGAGAAGGCCTTTGACCCGTGGGCTATTATACAAAATGCTTGCGAATGACTTTCCCGTACACATTGTAAAAATAATCCAGTCATACTTAACAGACAAACAATTTTGTATTAAGATTAACTCCACAATAACAGGACGACCTTTCCTAGCGATGGCGGGAGTACCCCAGGGCTCAGTACTTTCGCCGCATTTGTACACAATTATGACCTGTGATTTACCCATGGGTGATAACGGTGTACAGACGGCGTTGTACGCCGACGACATCTGTGTTTTTTCTAGCCAAAAATCAGCTCAAGACGCCTTCAGGAAGCTGGACAGCCATATAAACGGACCGTTGACCACCTATCTAGCCGAAAACAAAATCAAACTAAACTCTAACAAGTTTTTTTTTTAAGTTAATTATTGGTATTCTTAAGTATTTTACATTTTCTAGGACATTTTATTTTCCTATTTCCCTGCTATAGGAGTTTTCCTCCTTTTCAGGGTGGTCTGCCCTGATTACAAAAGTGACCTAGCTAGCTAATTCCTAATTGTCGAGTGCGCGTGTGGGACCTGTGTGGCAGATTAAAAGCATTATAATTCTTGATCGTAGAAAAAATAGGGTATGCAACTCTTATGTAATGGCTATTAATATGGGGTCGATGGTGTTATCGGGTCGATGGTGTAGTGGTCTATCGCGATTATATTCATTTATAGGCGAGTTTATGAGTCCGAGACTGCTGGGCTTCGAATCCCAGACCAGACCATGTGGATTTTTAATTTAATTGCATGGTTCGGTTTAGGATTTGATGTGTGCCGTATTAATGGAAATTCAATTTCTGTTGATATGACATGCAGATTATAAAATCGCCATACATTATCGTCTCGATGATGGTGGGTGAGGTTTTCCGGGTTTTCCTCACCTGTAAGTCAAATGGCACCATCAATCATCCTTAAGTCGCCCCGGAGCGCCACGGCAAATAATAATAATAATAGCCGTCCCTTCCCCTACACAAGTCGTTCAGTCGACTTCAGGGGTTGAAATTCACTCGTAAGGGGGTGAATTAGGGAGAGTATTATTATTATTATACATGATCGTTGCATAATATACTATTATTAAAATATACCCTAAGTACTGTGGGGCAACCCACCCTCCTTCAGATTCAAGATACAGAAAATATCCCAAAGTAACAGCTAATTTAAAACACCTTGTATTTGACTTATATATTATACTTTGTTTATATTACCTTTCAACATCTTGAGGAAATCTGTAAAATGAATGTGCACCGATATAAGATTTATTTTTTGCAGTCTTTATAACTACAAACAAATCCAGCTTTTTTGTCTTCTTCCATAACTCACACTGTCATTAAAGCACAACAAAATCAGAAAATAGTCGACGATAAAAATATTTAAGCAAAATAACAGAAACAACAGAATAATAATAATTATAAATTCACGAATTCGATACCATCGCCCGTGGCGGTCGCTACTGCACTGAAAGTTTCGGTGTAGAATATCGGTGTAGGTGTGCTTGAAGGTCACAAGCCCTCGAAGATCACGTGATCGGAGATATTATTCTGGTTATTATTTATTATTGTGGTAAAAGTATAAAAGTTCCATTCATTCATTTCCTAAAGGATTAAGTAATAAGTTAGTAAAACTTAATTTACATCTCACATTAATCAAATCTATAAAAAGTGTATTTTTACTTACATTGGCTGTCGTCTACTTAATATCAATAAAGTATCAATTATTATGGCAGGCAAAAGATGTTCTAATAAAATAAAGAAGTAGAATACATAATATTCATTGGTAATACAATTCGTTTTTGGTGGCCACAAATAAGTAACTGATGGATTATTTTTTAGATAAACCTTTGCCATTTCCTGCATATATCCGAAGTTGATCCTTAAATCCGAAGCTAAATTATAAAAGTAGATTTCATTGGTATTGCCACTAAAAAATAAAAAAAACATACAATACGTTTTAATAGAAATTGGGTTTCTTCGCTAAAATTATTGGCTTTTCCTCTTCTATCGTTTGTGAGCTTATTAAAAAAAAACAAGAGGTTCTTCAACATTCCAGAAAATTGAAGAATACTGGTATTTCAATAACAGACGATCTTATAAAAGAAGATAAGAAAGATAGAAAAATATTAGTTGCTGCATTGAAAGAGGAAAGAAAGAATAACAAGCAATCATATGTAAAAGGAAATAAGATTATTATAGAAGGAAAACTCTACACAACAAATGATATTGTGGATAATAAACACAACGAACTTTCCACCACTCCCAAAAAGAAAAATATCAAGTGAGCCGTCAATGCCATCGCCCAACAAAATAGAAAGCGGAACTGAATGCACTGAAAAGGACGAAAAAGAACATCAATAAATCATAGCCAATAATCAAGAAATCATGGTCAGCAATCAAGAAATCATTGTCAGCAATCAAAAAATCATAGCCAGCAAGAGAGACGCCAAATAAAATATTGTTGAATTAAAGAAACAGCAACTGAATAAAATAAACGTAAAATCCACAAGTAGTACTCCAAAAAATAATTTAGTAACTCAACTAAAAAACAAGAACAATCTTATGAAGTAACCCTCGTAATTTCAATTCTAAACGCGTTAAATTTAATTCGCTTTCTATTTATATTTACTTTTCGTTTTGTCTCTTTAATATTGCCTTTTTTAATACTAGTAGCATTTTAAATATATTTAATTTGAAACATTAGGCTCGTTTTTAATAAATATAAAATAAAGCAAGAAATAAATAACAATTTTTATTTTTAAGTGTTAAAAGGCTGCGCTATCACGACGAGATATCATTTAATGAATGCATATATTTAAAAATTCCCGCCATTCCGCTGCTGGAAATTTACAAAACTTTTGTGATGATCTAATTGTTGCATTCGCTGACAAGGAAACACCATCTGCTCATGAATACAAAGCGGCTACACTTCAAAGCTATGTTTGTAACTCACTGTGTGATTATAAAAATCAAAAATGTTGTAGCATGATTAGATTTTATGATGCGTTGCCGGTTGCTGAGTTCAGACAATTCAAAAGCCCGTTTTGCCATTCACATACAAAATCCTAATTCCGAACGTCAACTCATAAAATTACTCAACGAATTTGATGCGATCAGTGTTGAGATCTCGAGAATTACGAAAAATGCAGAGATCCTTAGAAAACCAAGAAGCCAGTTTAAAGATAGACGAGAAGCCGAACGTTTCAAGTCAAACAAAATTTTAAATGTACCTTCCTTTAAATAAGGCCACCAGAGACACCAACAATAAATAAAAAAAGGTCGTTAGTGGCAATCCCACTATGTTTAGTGTAATGGTGGCAATCCCACCAAGGTTAATTAAAAAGGTAGTTAGTGGCAATCCCACCAAGGTTAATTGAAAAGGTAATTAGTGGTAATCCCACTATGTTTACTGTAATGGTGGCAATCCCATAAAGGTTAATTGAAAAGGTAGTTAGTGACAATCCCACCAAGGTTAATTGAAAAGTTAGTTAGTGGCAATCCCACTATGTTTACTGTAATGGTGGCAATTCCACCAACATTAATTGAAAGAGTAATTAGTGGCAATCCCACTAATGTATACTGTAATGGTGGTAATCCCACCAACATTGATAGAAAGAGTATTAAGTGGCAATCCCACTAATGTTTATGGTAATGATGGCAATCCCACCAACGTTGATTGAAAGAATAACTAGTGGCGATCCCACTATGTTACTGTAATGGTGGCAATCCCACCAACATTGAAAGAAAGAGTATTAAGTGGCAATCCCACTAATGTTTATGGTAATGGTGGACATTTCACCAACGTTGATTGAAAGAATGACTAGTGGTGATCCCACTATGTTTACTGTAATCGTGGCAATTCCACCAACAATAATTGAAAGAGTAATTAATCATTTAGCGTCTAAAAAGTACATTAGTAATAATGTACATAAGTCGTAACAGTAGTTCTATTTTCGTATTTTGTAATTCCAGATATATGTGGCGCGAGGACGCACCAATTGCAAGATGGCCGTGTTAGCAGCGGTGTGGCCTTGCTTCCCACCACACATTTTTGAAGTCCATACTCATGGGTTTCAGGATGGACGAGCGGGAGAAGGCAGATCAGATCAGCGCAGTGGGTAATACAATACGCGAGTAGACAGTGGCAATACCACAGCAACATTGTAATTGAGAATACTTAATCGTTAATTAAAACATTGAAAAAGCAGTTTAGACATTTTTATTTTGTTTATATATATGTAATTTAAATGGACCACCGAACAAATTTTCCTATTAAGTTACACGTCTCTCTTGTCTCTGATAATATATAATATAAGAAGAAAGTTGCCAAAGTTTCGGGTAACACCTCGCGGCAATTGTACTGAACTAAAATCTAGTGACAAAATGGCTATTTTCTAATTTTTGCAAAAATTTTTAACTTACGTGCAGGTCTACGAGTTTATTATAATGAAATCCCCTTTGTCAACACATAAAAATCGTATAACTAAGCTATTATTTGACGAACAGTGTGCATTATTTTGTTTCTTTAATTATTACACTAACTCATCGGTTAGAAATGTGAAACAAAAATTGTTAGGAAATAAATTGTTAGGGAAAAATTGTTAGAAAAAATTGTTAAAAAAAAATTATTGAAAAAATGTGTAAAAAATGTTTTGTTTTGTATTATATTTTTTTGTTTCATTCGTGTACTTATATACATACGTATTTTTTTATTTTTATACTCTTTTTGTTTTCCTTTCATTCAGGCTTCTGAGGAAGAACAGTTTTTAACTGATCAAAAGTCCTTCTGAACGTTTGTATGTTTTTTTACATTGTATAGTTTGTTTGTAAATAGTTAATAGGAGGTCAATAACATTTATTATTATTATTAATTATTATTAATTATTATTAATTATTATTAATTATTATTAATTATTATTAATTATTATTAATTATTATTAATTATTATTAATTATTATTAATTATTATTAATTATTATTAATTATTATTAATTATTATTAATTATTATTAATTATTATTAATTATTATTAATTATTATTAATTATTATTAATTATTATTAATTATTATTAATTATTATTAATTATTATTAATTATTATTAATTATTATTAATTATTATTAATTATTATTAATTATTATTAATTATTATTAATTATTATTAATTATTATTAATTATTATTAATTATTATTAATTATTATTAATTATTATTAATTATTATTAATTATTATTAATTATTATTAATTATTATTAATTATTATTAATTATTATTAATTATTATTAATTATTATTAATTATTATTAATTATTATTAATTATTATTAATTATTATTAATTATTATTAATTATTATTAATTATTATTAATTATTATTAATTATTATTAATTATTATTAATTATTATTAATTATTATTAATTATTATTAATTATTATTAATTATTATTAATTATTATTAATTATTATTAATTATTATTAATTATTATTAATTATTATTAATTATTATTAATTATTATTAATTATTAATAATTATTATTAATTATTATTAATTATTATTAATTATTATTAATTATTATTAATTATTATTAATTATTATTAATTATTATTAATTATTATTAATTATTATTAATTAATTATTATTAATTAATTATTATTAATTAATTATTATTAATTAATTATTATTAATTAATTATTATTAATTAATTATTATTAATTAATTATTATTAATTATTATTAATTATTATTAATTATTATTAATTATTATTAATTATTATTAATTATTATTAATTATTATTAATTATTATTAATTATTATTAATTATTATTAATTATTATTAATTATTATTAATTATTATTAATTATTATTAATTATTATTAATTATTATTAATTATTATTAATTATTATTAATTATTATTAATTATTATTAATTATTATTAATTATTATTAATTATTATTAATTATTATTAATTATTATTAATTATTATTAATTATTATTAATTATTATTAATTATTATTAATTATTATTAATTATTAATTATTATTAATTATTATTAATTATTATTAATTATTATTAATTATTATTAATTATTATTAATTATTATTAATTATTATTAATTATTATTAATTATTATTAATTATTATTAATTATTATTAATTATTATTAATTATTATTAATTATTATTAATTATTATTAATTATTATTAATTATTATTAATTATTATTAATTATTATTAATTTTTATTAATTATTATTAATTATTATTAATTATTATTAATTATTATTAATTATTATTAATTATTATTAATTATTATTAATTATTATTAATTAATTATTATTAATTATTATTAATTATTATTAATTATTATTAATTATTATTAATTATTATTAATTATTATTAATTATTATTAATAATTATTAATTATTATTAATTATTATTATTATTATTATTGTTATTATATTAATGAATTGGTTTACGGATATAGCAGCAATTTCCAAAAAAAGCATAACTTGACCATGTTTTTTGTCGTGTGTTCATATTACTTTTCCACCAAAAACCCTGAGACATACTTTATAGACACCATATACCACATCATAATATTGATTAATTTTACTTACGATATTGCTTTCTTCCATGAAGCTATTATTAAAGCTTTTGCCACACTATCTGCGAAAACGTGATCAGGTCTTATATTTATGTCTAACCATGTTGATCTTACTACACCTATGCAAAATAATTGTCTATAATAGTTTTTCATTTTTAAAAATGTGTAAATCTAAAATATAATATTTTTGGGCCACGGGAACCAGATGATTTTCAAAATATGATAAACGTTAGGAAAAATTTTGTTTTCTGTGTTACACGACAATAATCTAATACCTAATTCTGCATTCAAATAATTTTTGAAATAATTCACCGGATTGATTAAAAAAAGGAAAAACTTTTTTATTTTCATCTTTTCGAAAAAATATATTCTTCATAAAAGTTTTAATTTGAAACTTGAATTGAGGTATTTTTTTATATTTCTTTTTCGTTGATTTTAATTGAACACTTGGCAATACCGCGCTTATTTGTATTGACAGAGCATGACAGATATAATTCTAAATTCTAATGAATAAGTTTACATAAATGATCAATTAATGATCCTCAAAAGCCTTTAATATATAAAATTAAAAACAAACGTTAGGTAACTATTTTCATAAATTAATAAAATGCATTGACAGCTCTTCATATATCCTCAACTAGCCATTAATAAAGTGTATTTGTTGTGAAGTCATCACGCCATGTCTAAATCGGAGTGAGAGGTCCGATTATCTTTCTGACAGCGCCTCATCATCATCTACTAACTGTATAGTCCAGGGACAGTGACGATTTTCGGTATTTATTTTCCCAGTCAGCAAACACGGATAGAAAATTGTAGGGTTAGCAATTCTAAGCAAAATTTATATACAGGGTGGCTCACGCTCAACGGAACGGAGCTTTATGGGAAAACGACCAAAGATATAAAAAATTCGTTACAGACGGTTACAATTTAAAATTTGTTAGATGTATACAGGATGTCCCACATAAGAGAAAATATACAAAGTTATATTATTTTTAATGGAACACCCTGTTTTTTATTTTAGAATTAAAAACTACATCAAAAATAATGTCAGTTAACTAAAGGTTCCCTATTACTATTATTATTATTATTAGTTTTCGATTTATTTGAATTTTTAAGGAAAAAAAGTCTCCCAGAAATTAATTGTTTACTCTTGTTTGAATAATTTTTAATGAACTATTTTTTTTTTCTTATGTGGGACATCCTGTATACATCTAACAAATTTTAAATTGTAGCCGTCTGTAACCTACGTATTCCTCCCAAACGAATTTTTTATATCTTTGGTCGTTTTCCCATAAAGCTCCGTCCCGTTGAGCGTGAGCCACCCTGTATATTTAGAGGGGGGTCCGATGGGTTGAAACCAAAAATGCGTCAGAACATACAAAAACACAGCCCCTTTTTTCCAGTGATAAAAATAGTTGACATTTGCGATACTCCGACGCATTCGCATTATTGATGGAATCTCATGATTTTACAGTACTAGTTTTTGCAAGTTTGAGTGTGATTTTAAGGTTATTACGGTTTTTCGTTTTGTTTGGTTCTGATATTTTGCGCTTTTAGAGTATCTGTCTTTTATAGTTATAGTTTTTAATTTGAATTTTAATTGTGTGGTCTATTTATATTTGATTGCTGCTTTTTAATTAGTGCTTTATTCTTTTTGTGATAAAACAAGCTTCATAACCATTAAGTACAAGCTTCTAGTTGATATCTACCTAATCGTCATCGTGTTCTTGCAACAATGGGAAAAAGTGTATGGTTTTCTGGTGTAAAAGTCAGACGCCATCATTTTTCAGGTAAGGATGACTAGTTATTTTTTACTTAAAAGGATAGCAATACGTCCTGGTTCGGGGTGCGACTGTTGGGTTTTAGCTATCTGAGTCAAATTGTCGGCTGCGTCCTCTTTTGGGACAACCAGAACCAAAAACTATATCATGTTTTTAACTCCTTTGGACTATAAAAGCAAGTGGCTTATTACTGTCAGTATATCCCACTACCTCAAGTTCGTTCGTTGGCCGAGCGGTCTAAGGCGCGGGTTTTCGATCGCGAGACTCACCGATCGTGGGTTCTAATCCCGTCCACGGCTGAAAAAAATATAATTTTTCAGCAATTTCAACTTATTTATTTTTATTATTAGGAAGTTTGAAAACTTTTGTAATTAATGTGAAATTTTCAAAATAGGAAGTCTTTGACTGGCCGATACGTGAAATAAAAAACAATAACCAAAAATAAATTACGCTTACCTTTTGATAGGCCATAAAGGATACTAGCTGTCCCGTTTATGTTGTCTAACCATCCAGGAACCGGGTCAGAATACGTTGAAAAAACTAAAACAAAAATAATTATTGTTTATAAATAATTAAAATATCAATAGTTGTGCCTATATACAAAAATGGAAATCAAAATCACATAGCTAACTACAGACCCATCAGTCTTAAATATGTTAGTGATACCTCCCTTGTACCCAACATTATTGATCACGTGTCACTGTCAATAGTTAATACTCCTGGAAAGTCAGGAAGGACTAACGGCGCACATAGGGATATTGGAATTATCTACGTGGCCAAAAGTCCATTTTACAAAAAGCAAAATGTTTAAATAAAAACGACTATCTGGGTTAGGGTACTAGTTAGAGCACATTATCTATCCCCTCCCGTTTTCCTTCAGTGCACTCCGCTTCTTTACTGGCAGTTTGAATTTGACTGTTTTATAGTCTATTTTTATGTATGAGAGAGTAATAAAACAGCATTTCTAATGCAAAACTTAGTACGGTCATTTTAAATATTTTTACAGAATCTAAATATTTCCTAAAATTGTAATAAATGTACCTGAGCTATTACAAGTTTTGGGTCTTTTATTGGTCCTTTATAAACATAAGCTGTACAGAACAATAGAAAAAGGTTTGGACAGGCCAAAAGCCCTGTGTATTAAAGATTACATAGCCGTATCTTAAGATTATTTTCAATAAGTACCTATTTGCCAATTTTGTTTTATTTTAATTCCAAGAATTTCTTACAGTAATCGAATTATAAGTAGATAAATACCTTCCCAACAAATTTAACCGAAAATGCGATTATAGGTTTTCTATTTAGTAAGGAGGTCCAAGTTGTGTATTCTTGAAAGTTTACTAAATGTCGTTTAGTTACAACTTGCAAGGTGCAATGTGAATTCTAGTGTGATCATGGAAAATTTGGAAGAGCCGCGTAAATGACAAAAAATCAGTCCTTTAACAGTTAATGAAAAAACTGTTAGTGGAATTAGTTAGTAGTACGCTTGGTGTTGGGAAATCTACGATTTACAGAGTTGTTAAAGAAGAGAAATGTGGCGAGTTTCAAACAGCACGTAAAGCTCCAGGAAAACCAAAATTTCCATTAGAAAATCTTTTGAAAGAAAAACTTCGAAGGAAAGTGCATGCGTTCTTCTTTAGAAAAGAATTTCCGACAGTAGACAAAGTTCTTGCTACGGTTCGAGATGATAAGGATTACCCTGAAATGAGTCGAAGCACACTATGGAAACTTTTAAAAGAAATAGGTTTTCTATGGAAAAAGCATTCCAGAAAGTCTATTTTAATAGAAAGAAGCGATATTGTAGTATGGAGAAGAAATTACCTAAGGACTATAAAAGAAATGAGAAACCAAAGAAGAAATATATTTTATTTAGATGAAACATGGATCAACGAGGGACATAAACCAAATAAATTTTGGCAAGATAAAACTGTTACAAGTCGAAGACATGCTTTTTTAAATAATTTATCTACTGGTTTAAATCCACCATCAGGAAAGGGGCGCAGACTAATAATAGTACACATCGGTAGTTCAAACGGTTTTGTTAAAGGTGGTTTATTGACTTTTGAATCTACTCGTACCGGTGACTACCATGAGGACATGAATGCTGATGTCTTTAAAGAGTGGTTCGAACAAATTATAGATTTTCTTTCTCAGAACTGTATAATAGTAATGGATAATGCAAGTTATCACTCGAGACTTATAGAAAAAATGCCCACAACCAAGTGGTTAAAAAAAGATTTACAGAATTGGCTAAATTCAAAGAATATTAAGTTCCATTCCGGTTCTGTGAGAAAAGAACTGTATCATTTGTGTTCCCTTCATAAAGAGAAATTCAAAAAATATGAAATTGATGAAATTGCAAAAAATGGTGGGATGACGGTGGTTAGATCACCACCATATCATTGCGAAATAAACCCGATTGAACTGATATGGGCACAGATATAGGGAGAAGTTTCAAGAAAAAATAATTCTTTTAAAATGAGTGATGTCAAACAGTTGTTTTTGGAGGCTGTAAATAATGTGAAGCCTGAAAACTGGGAAAAGGCAGTAAATCATACGATTAAAGAAGAAGAGAAAATGTGGAAGTTGGACAATATTACTGATGAAATGATCGAGCCACTCATTGTAAATATTGGTTGCGACAGTTCATCTTCTGATATTGGTTCTGATTTGGATTTGTAGGTAAGAAGTAGTTTTTATATTAAAATTATTATTTATGAACGTAACGTTGTTTAAAGTCAAAGTTTAAACCCTTATACCTACATAACCCGTTTGACACAATGTTCTTAACATACCTTGTGGAAAAATAAAACATTTTAGAAAAAATTGCACTTTTTTACCTTCAGCTGTTTAGAAGTTATAAGCAGGTTAATTAGGTGAAAATATAAGTGTATACTCGAGGAATAACTTCAAAAAATATTTTAACTGTCTACTAAAAGAAGTGATACGCCTATGGATTACGAACGCTTTATTATTTTATTACTCTCTCATACATAAAAATAGACTATAGTTGGTATATGTGTGTGTGAAATTCGAGTGAAAACCTTAATTTAAACAGTGAATATTTATTATTTAAATTTTTTTTTTAAAGAAAAAAATATGGATCCTAGTATAGCAGGTAATGATACACTATCTTTAATTTTTTTTTATAATTTTTATAATTTTTAAGATTGTCTTAGTGTATTGAAAGTTACAAGTAATATAGCATATTTTTGACCGATGATTTGAGTTCAATAAAGAATTAGTTATACGATAAAAGTATATCCTGTTATAATTCTTATTACTTACGAAAGGTTAGAGCTTTGAGTAGTAAGTAATCAAAAAATTAGCCGCGGAAAACCGCGGATAAGTACTTTTCAGTACTTCGCATTTTTTTTGTCGAAAACATCTATTACTTATTACTAGGAGAAAAATCAAAAAGAAGGTGAATTATGGACTTTTATTGACTGTTATTTAGAAAATAAGCTGAATTTTTTAAAATTATTTATTTGAAGTTTTTACTTTAGTGCCCTTATTTTCTATAAGTAAACTTTCAAAATTATCGCTAAAAGAGTAGTTTTCAGTTAAAGTATGATTGGCAAATGTAAAGGTATTATAACTATTATTATGTTCAGATGACGCCTCGGGTGACGCTTTTTAAAAATACTGCCAGTTTGACCAATATACATATTTTGACAACCACCAAAATAATAATAATTTTCATACAATTAATTTTGCCTTTAGTTTTTATATGGTTCCCCAGTGTTTTGCACAATAAAATAGTTATATTAAAAATAAAAATTAACACATTTGCGAAACATATTTTTACTGAAAACCAGTCTTTGAGTGATAATTTTTAGCATTACATATATAAAATAAGGCACTATCTACAAACACTTGAAATGAATATATAGATTTTAGATTATCTGCTAATCATCCATTAAAAATCAATAATTTACCTTTACCTAATCCTTTTAACAGATTCTTAGTATTCTGTGCGTTAAACTCATTAATGGTAAAACATTACACTAATTTAAACTCATTAACCACTTAATTACTGTCATGAAATTCTTAAAGCCTACCCTGAATACGCTCGACCTTCAGACGGCAACCGACTCATGCTCGAAGCAACGAAAGATTTAGGAATGTCTGCCGCTGATGCACTAGAAACAGCTGGAACGGCGGAGAGTGCCGTTTAGTCATAGAAATGGAATGTTCGAGAGCCTCTAGTAGTAGCGGGTTTGGACTAATATAAATAGCCGACGTATCGGCGCCCAGTTTAGTTTAATATAGAACGTTGCAATGAAAAGTTAAAGTGTAAGAAATACATTAGAATTGTTAGTTAGTGTCTAAGTCTTATATAAATTAAATAGTACGTCTGAAATAAATTGTAAATAGTGTTTTTAAATAAATAAACTATAAATAAATTAGACTTTAGTTACATTACTACTTACAAAATGTAGATGAATATAATGATTAATTTAAAATCAATAATTCACCTTTACTTAATCTTTTAAGTGATTCTTAGTATTATGTGAGATAATTCCAGTAATGGTAACACATTCTTACTCGGAATAATTTAATCCCATTAATTGCTTTGACCCCTATTGGTAGTTTTTGATTTTTCTCCTAGTTATAATTATGGATTTTAATAAAGTAACAAACAATAATCTAAAAATTATGATTGATGTTAAATACTTTTATTTTTGTTTAGGTTCACAAAGTACCTTGGGTGTAAGAATTGTGACCCGTAAATATTAGTTCTGTCGCATGCACAATCTAGATTTGCTTAGTCTTAAAAGAACAACTGTTGTCGTGCGAAGGAAACACCAAAGACCAAATTGACCCAGGCAGCACACTTTGGTATAAATCACGTATTTTTTTAGGTACTACCATACGTATGAATACGGTTGATGTACTACCAAATATATTCGTGAAAATGTCCGCCTTATAAACGTCGATTACTAAGAATTTATCCACCTATAATTAAACGTTTTTACTATACGTCTATATTAGATTTATAGTTGTAGTATATTTATACGAATTCACTTTGGTATAAAATACGTTTTTTATGTACTACAATATACGTATGTATACTGTTGGTATGCTACCCAATATATACGTGAAATGTCCGCCCTATAAACATATATTTTTTTTATTTTTTATACGTCTAATATTACTACTTTATCTACCTTTTATTATCCTGTTTTACTATACGTCTATATTAATATATAATAATAATAATAATAATAATAATAATTTTTATTGCTTATCAACTTATACAAAGTTACAGCAAGAGTTTGAGTGTAGTCACAGTAACAAAAACATAATTCAAATTGAGCTAAAAGTAAAGTAAAGTAAAAAAAAAAAAAAAATATATATATTAAATAATCATAGAATACTAGAATACATTATTCGTTCAAAATAAATGATCTCAATTTTAATATGTTACAAATATATGAGTAAATATACTTAGCATCATTGATGGTAAAATTTTCTAGTGTTGCAATAAGAGCATTTATATTTTCAAGTGATTGAATTTTAGGCTTCATAACATTGTAAATCGGACATTCAAAAAGAATATGTAAAAGAGTTTCGTTTTCCGCCTTATTACACACTGTACATATACTTTTGGGATCTATTGTGTACAAAATGTTATTTACAGTGAATTTTAGCTGATATTTGTTACTTAAACGAAGCTGGGCAAGTGTGCGTGTGATGTGAATTGGTAATTTTAATAGTAGGTAACTTTTAGGATTTTTTCCAGTTGGAAATGACGTATAAAAAGATAAAAAGTGGCATCGTTCGGAAAAGGAGACATCCAGATTATACAATCTGTTATAATAATCAGATAACAGCTTTTTTGTGTTTAATTTTAAAGTTCTGGCATTGAGGTTATTCCATAGATCTAGATGATTAATAGATGTAAATATTTCTTTAACTTGTGCAACCCAATTATATTTCTTATCCGAAGAACCTATCAAAAGGAGTTGTTGCTTAAAACAAAGTTTAGGATAGCGTTCGTCACTCATATTAAGTATTTTAAGTAACCAATTTAGTGTCTATACGTCTATATTAGATATATTTGTATGATTTTTATTAATGTGTAAAATGCGTCTACCTGATATTGTTTTAAATGTATTTCAAACACAAATTAAATAGTGATCAAAACAAAATTTCTAATAGAGGCCATGGAAAAATGTTAATATTTCTTAAATGATAGTTTGGATTTTATCCATAGCAGGTGTGTATACACCAGAAATAGGCATTACTCGTGTTTCTATTTTGGTTGTAATTTGCCTAAATATTTAGAAACATTTTTTGATCACTTGTTATATGTACAGAACAATATTTAATTAAAAAAAAAATAAACAATATAATTCTAAAAAATAAATAAATACAAAAAAATAAACACTAAAATACTAAATAACAAACTAAATGAAACTTTTCTTTAACTAACAAAAAATATATATGAAAATAAAATCTTAGCTTAACACTATGGATGTGTTGTGTCCTAGACGGGCCTTAACTAACTTAAGCTAATCTTGCATGGCACACCTAATCGTTCGGTCGGTTAAGTCGCTTGGTTCACCCTCATTCCTATAACCAAAATATAACTCAATTTCAGGTGAAATATTTTCTAAAAGCTCCGAAGTTAAATTTGTATTATTTTCTTGGAAATTATTATAAATAATAGAATCAGATGATATATTAATGTCCGAAGCTTTATTAATGTTATCTTTATTGGGAATAAAAAAAATTGATTTGACTTTAAAGCGCTATTTTTCTACGCAGATGACGCAGAGCACAGGGTTATTTTAGACATTTTATTGAATAAAAAATAACTGAAAAAAAAAAAGGAAAATAAGTATGCTTGGAATAACTAAGTAACCTAAAAAATACGTATAAAAATAAAAGAAACAAAAGTAAGGTTAGGTTTTGAAGTTTCTATAAGCATATAACACACTGTACGTACCTATAAAACAGTAGTTGTAAAATGCAACAATTATTAAAGGAGTAGCTAAATTAAAATATTAATAGAAACTTACCTATACTTTTAATCAATATCGTAAAAGCCCAGGACGCCAAAGCAACCAAACGTGTACACAAATGAAAATGGACGAACCGATAAACCTGCTACCAAAAACCATTCCCTACACTGAACATGAACAATAATACTACACATAGGCATGAGTAGAAATGAGAAAAAACCATACCACTAGTACGTCATCCTCCATCCGCCATCTAAAAATAGTTCCATTTGTATGGGGAATTTGTTATAAATATTACAGGTAATATAATTAAAAAATATATGGATGTAATGCAAATAAATATATCTATAAGCTTTTATTTAAATAAACCTAAATATATACATATTATTTACTTCTGTCTACTAGTTCATCGTAAACTGGTATTATGCGTTTAAGGTGACTTATATTTAAACGTAGAATAATATAGGTATATTAACTGGTATCGACAAACAAAAGCGTTTAATTTATCTGTTAAAAAACGTTAAGTATAAAAGTGGTAGATGGTAAACGTTTAAAAAATCAACCAAGACGAAATTTAAACGGGAATTATAAACGAAGAAAATATATTGCAATATAAAGTAAATTTATACGAATTTAATTTAAATAAACCTAAACGTATATTTAGACCCACTGTATATAAATAGTTCATCGCAAACTAAAAATAGTCGTATATTGTAAACTATATTTAAACGTAGAAAAATTTACAATTATATACCATAGGATGTATATAAAAAACGTATAATATATCGTTTAAAACACGGTATGTATAATAATCGTAAACTGTAAACGTATACGGAATCAACCAATACCAAAATTAAACGAGTATTATGTATAAAATACGTTAGTTATACTAATGTGTGCTGCCTGGGGAGTGTTTGAAACGAAGTTAAGGATCCTTTAAGTCTCAATAATTTATTATTTATATATAATTTATAATTTTTTTTGTATCTTTTATAATAACAACGCACGACTTAAAAAACGAAAATGAGGTTTTTCGGATTTTATCGAATATTTCCGGAACCAGTCAGAAAATCTGGAACTTCTATGGACTATTGTATTATCCGTCAAAATACGAAACTTTTTACTCATTTAACCGACAATGTATATCTTACGGTTTACGAGATATCTGTATACGCAAATTAAATCCGATCCACCCGGTATATAACGGTTAACAGTCAAAACTTAATGGTTCTTTTAGCTCCCTTAGAGTTTGAGAAAATGTATATCATAATTAATTATATATTTTTGTATTTGTGTGTACACTTTCAGTCTTGAATAAAATGTGAATTTAAAATAATGTCAATCCAAGGGTGGCTCCAGGGAAGTGGGTGTGGGGTCATTCCCACCTGATATTAAAATTATTACATTTCATGAGTTTTTTAAAAAATGTATGTTACAAAGGGATTGGCTAATGGCAAACAACGGTGTAGTTGTCTAATGATATACTTCACCTGCCAGATGACATTTATGTACTTCTTAAATTAAAAATTCCATTTGGATTAAAAAAATACATATTTACTATTAAAAATAAAAAAAACAAATGGAGTGACATTGAATGACTGAAGAAAATAATTCCTAAAAATTTGAATCACTATTATGTATTCAATAGAACGTTATATACAGGGTGTTTCAAAAAGGTATGTCATAAATTCTTCCTCAGATAGATTACCAAAAAATAAGTGGATTTGGCTATATCTACCTATATCAAAAACTGGCTCCCAACAAAGTTTAAGGGCGTTAAACTTACATTCAGAAAAATGTTTTTTTTTTTTTGGTGAAAAGTTTGCTGTTTCGATATTTTCTTTGAAAATTTTGGCAGTGCTGTAGATTTAAAGGCCCAATATTCTAAGGAGAAAAAAATTTTAAGCGACATCTTTAAAAAAAGTTGGGGGTACCTTTTAACCCCCTCCCTCCCGTATTTTTTTGACATAAAGAAACTTGCTTTATTGATCTTAAAATCAAAAATAACTATGAATTTTTATTTATAATGAAAGAAAGGTGGTTGAAAGCACATAAAAAGAAAGACGTATTGTACAAATACAATGATGCATGGCTAAACGAAACATTTGAGATTCCTGTCGTTACACAAAATCGGCCAGTGCGGCCACGTAAGTCATTTGGAGAGTCAAGTAATCGAATTAAAAGGAGGAAAACTGAGGAGATTCGATCTACTTAAGATAAGGAAGTAATCATACATTTATCCTTTATTATATCACATATACTTCTGCTAAAATTTTTAAAAATGCAAAGGTTCGTTTGTATAATTATCTATACCAGAGTTTAGCCCAGCGATGCAATGTTCAAACTCATCCGATTTAAACTTTTTAATTTTATTAAATAAATAATTCTCACTCTATTTAGTTTGACCTAATAACACATAAGTTTACCAATCATTTAATTTGTTTACTACCATTACTCGAGCAACTATTACTACTTGATGTTCTAGAGGGTCTTCCATACTGTTATATCATATGGTGATTAGTTACTTGTAAGCCTGATAATGACTTTTATGCTGAAACCGATTGCCTAAATAATTTCAATAAAATATTATTGTGTGGTACGAATTTTATGTTTCTTTTCTCATAATTCTCTTTTTATTTGAAAATTGATTGATGATTTCGTCAATATCTAAATCTATATTTCAATAGACACATAATAAAGCTAAACGGTTAAGGTGGTCTTGTAGCATAGTAGACATTAGGTAAATTTTTAAATGTGGCTACAGAAATTATAAATGTACAATGTAAATTTTTAAATATTTGAAAAATAATTGGAGTCTCAGTCCATTTAGACAAAATATTACTTTTCCTTTTAGAGAAGCTCTAGTAGGGACGCTTGCGTCTCTCGCGCCCCCTTCCTAAATCCGCCACTGCAATCAGGATATCAGAATAATTCAAAATTAATATCGGTTACTTACCTATAGTGGGTCGCATTATTACAGCTGGTATTTTATCTTTGGCGAGTTCCACCACAGCGTGCTCTCCCAGAGCCTTCGTAAAAACATAAGTATTAGGCATCGGATAAATTAACTTATGGACTAAATATTGTAGAGTAGTTTCGTCATATTCTTCAGCTAGTCGTATAAGATCTCTCCAGTTCATTTTAGCTGGATATAACTTTTCTTCCACAATTAGATTATCGCAATTAGAATAGGCAGTCGATAAATGTACAAATACGTCGATTCTTTTGAGTTGTCTTGCTAATAACGTTATTTCTCTGGCACTTCTGATGTTTGCAAACACCGCCTTTTTGATGGGATCATCGAAACGAATTGATGCTGCACAGTGAAAGATTATTGTTACGTTTTCAATTATTTCTGCTTTGTCTCTTTCACTTAATCCTAAAAATAATATATCCAAAATATGAAAACAATACTTTGCTTTTACTGAAAATTTTATAAAGAAAAGCATGGTTTCACAGTGCTGTTTCTAAAGTAATGTGAGAAGATGTTAATAAAACCTACATTTAGCATAAAACTAGTAATCACAGTTTTGCTAATACAGTTGTCACTCAAAGAAAAATGTATACCATTTTCGTCCCTATAGTGCTGACAAGATCAAATACTGTATCAATGTTGCAACTTATAGCTACCGTCTGGTAAATAGCAACGACGCCTGCCATATATCTAGGGTTATCAAACGTCAGGAAAAGTCCGGACATGTCCAGAATGTTGGCGATTTGTTCGGGATGCACCGGAAATTATAAATATTTAGCAAAACCATCAAACGTATTAAAATCCCTTACAAAAAATTATTTTTTATTTAAATATTTAATGGATGGTTGTTGTCTTGTGTAGTTATGTTTGTGTATGCCTTTTGTATTATATAATGCTTTATGTTTAATTTCACGAATTTTTAATATTGGAACTGTTTTTGTTTTTAGTTTTTGTCTGTTTTTAATAAAACGTTTAGTAATTATTTCATGAGTTAGAGTTTTATTATTTTGTCCGGATTTTTATTAGGGATTACAGGTAATTGCATTTTTGAATATGGTAACCCTAACCACATTCTTTCCTCTCATGTACATGCAAACGCACGCAAAGAGGGACTTAAAATTTGATCTTGCTAGCACTGTATAGACCTGTTTGATACTCTTAATAGCCGGAGAGCTAGTAACACACATTTCATTAAGTGTTTGATGCACTTTGAAATTTTGTAATTTGAAATCATTTGGATGGAAAAGCAGATATACCTGTGTTGGCTAGACTCACCCTGGGACACCAGGTACTGGGCATAATAGAAAGGAGTCGCAAAATATGACCCAAAAAAAGTGATTGATTCAGAGGCCAACAAACAACAATTGAAAGTTTAGGTAATTCTAAAAATACTAGTAATTTAGGCCGACACTTTTGAGAGGGTTTATAATTGATAAATCAACCCCAAAGTTGATTTTTTTTAAATATGATTTAAAGTGTTTGAATCACGTTGAAATTTTATTAGAGTCTGAATTAAAAATAAAAAAAATTAATTCCAAAAAGGCAGACACTTTTTCCAGGGTTTAATTGCCGGCCAACATAAAAATGAATGAACCTCGTTATGCGCCACTTTGCATTGAATAAGTATATACTTTTTAAAACTAAACATTTTAAATTACCAAGACTGTGAAATAATAAAACAATAATATTTTTCCTTTTTTTTTTTAGGAAAAAAAAAACTAAAAAACTAAAAGTTTCCGGGCTCGAACCACCAACTTGCTATCCGCACTATCAAAATTTGGATAGTGTGGATAGCAAGTTGGTGGTTCGAGCCCCGAACTTTCAGTTTTTTTTTCAAGCAGTTAATAATTATTTTTTCCAAATTATCATTCGTCAAAAAAACTACCTTTGTTAAATTAAACTTGTTAATTGAATTAATGTATTTTTTTGAAAATTAGAACCATTTAGAGTCTTTTAATTTACTTTTTCACTCAAAATTTAGAGAGAAATGCGTGGCTTTATTAGTTCAGTACACTGGACTGGATCACTCGGTATAACTTAGTATATACTTACCAAAATTGACTTTTTCTATATCACCGATAATTGGTATTATTTTATTTAGGGCTGCACTATTTTCTTTTCTTATTGTATCGAAAAGCTACAAAAAATGGAAAAGGGGCTAATTAATAAAAAAATAAATACCGTACGCAATTTTAGTCTACTAGCTAAATAATTTTAATTTAAATTAATAGCAAAATATAAAAAAAAGAAATTTAGAAAGCAATATATCCAATTTTTGTTTTTTGTGAGTAAATGTATGGGTATTGCTTTATGAATTACATTAATATAAGATATTAAAGCAATGATGAATGTCAAGGGATAATTCTTTTGACAGATTTTCTTGAAGTCGATTAGAAAATATTGATGTACCTCAGAGCTGGTATATTTAAGGGGGTCGCGACATAGGAGTCTATCTTGGACGCCATTTTTTTTCGAAATATAAGAAAATAAAATCACTATTTTTTTAAATGACATTTTCATTATAAAATGCCCATATTTTTAGGATAAAATATTGTAATTTATTAAATTATTAATAATCTCACATATACATAGAATACGTCGTGAAAAGTAGATCACTTTCAATTTTGTGCTCTTTTGGTTTGGTTTATTTTAAAAGGTAATTGGAAGAGATGAAGACAATTTTCTTATAGATGAGGAATTGAGCATGCATAACAAATTATGGATCCCTTTGTTAGAGCTCCAGTCCCCTAAGTCTATTTATTTTAGGTCTATTTAAATTGTTGGTAGGTATTATTCACTTCATTTGTATGTTTTTATTTAATTTGAATAATTTTGTGTAATATCTTTCGATTTGGTTTCTATACATTTTAGCATGTATTTGTTTGCTACATCTTACAAAGGATGGCTTTGAAATACCTTTACAACAGAAGTACCTTCCTAAAACTGGCCGAAATTTGAAACTGATTACAGTTCTTACAGAATATCTCCAGTAAAAAATGTCTGCATGCAGAATAACAGTAACACAGGTTAACAAAGCTGACAAAAGAGATGGACAAACCTTTTTCTAGCTTATTTAATATTTCAGGGCAATAGTGTTAACATCAGAACACAACAAGAATAACCAAAGTTTAGTAAACAAGCAAAATATTTTAGTATCTCCAGAATTATAAACGTATGAAAACTATAATAGGAAACATGTATGGCTTCGAATAGGAAATTACCCAAATTAGCATGTCTATAGTGAATATTACATTTAAAAATATATTTTTAATCAAAACTTTTGGGCTTCTACTTCAATATTAACCATATATAAATACATATGCATTTTATAGTACCTATTAAGTAAGATTCGGATTAAATGTACTCACAATTTATAAACATTATTAAACTAATTTCAAATAACACCTGTTTTTTATTTAAATAAAACTATATATTCTTATTAAATACATAAATTAGTCTCAACCACACATCTTTTTGTTTTTACTTCTAGTGGGAAAGTCTATATATAAAAGTGATTATTAATTTACAGTATTTCAAGTTTATTATTTAAGAAGACTAGTTAGGTACTACAAAATATGCTATTGTCGATAACTAATTTCTCTTTAATAATGGTTTTGCATTTATCAATATTTTACAGCACTTTGTTTATATGAAACATCTATCTAGCTCTTAATTAAATCACATTTACAACATTTAAATCAAGTAATTACATTTTCATATTCAACTTATGTATTCTTAATATAATTATTTTTGTTTAATTTGAATTTTTTGACTAAGGTAACAGAATTCATTCGCCAAACCACAAACTTAGTCATAAAGGTAAAATTCTTTCTTTTATGATGTTGTCCATGCAATTTTAGGTTGTAAACGTTTTGTCCAACACCTTTTTTACAATTTATCCGAAGCAACAGTATGAAAGATTTAAATCCTGGATTTACAGCATTCAGTTTTGAAATGAGTGCAGTCAAAATGCAGTTTCAGAGATAATTTTCACATGAACACTTCTTACCACAGCACAAACGCATATACCAATGCTTCCTTCATGCATGTACCTATTCATGTAACAATAAAATAAAGTAAAAATAAATTGCATAATTTGGAATATAAAAAAGGCACAAAATATTTTTAGTTTTAATTCTACTACGAGGAAAACAGTGGTTCATTCCACTTGTACCATATTGACATTATTATGCACGTTAGAAGTAGATCTGTCTCTGTTTTTATTATACTATTACGGCAGGACAAACGATAACCGTGGATTTCGCCCATAGATATGGAGGATCGCCAAACGAACATCAGAAAAGTGTTGCCAATACTATTTCCCCCTAGCCTCAGTAACCCCCTCATCAATTTACTGGGTCTATGTCGCGACCCCCTTAGATATACAAGCCTTGGATAGGTATATTATGTTATATTATGTTTTATTATGTTATATTATAATATCATTCGATACTTATGCCTTTTATTATAGGGTCTTAAAATCACTATGCCGAACGGCTTGTATGGGAAAATTGTTGGCACTTCTAGATATTTTGTCAGTTTTTTGTTAAATAAATTATGTATAATTAATATGATGACTATGTCCGAAACTCGAGCCTTTTGTTATATAGTCTTAGAATTACTTTTTCTAAACATATGACACGGCTAGCGTGAGAAAATGGTGGCATTTTCCATACAATTTTCCTGCAACGTTCCGTCAAAACCCTTCCTTCCGTCCACATCCGATACTTATGCCAATTTTATTATTACGTCTAATATATTAATAACAAAGCTTGCATGAAAAAATAACTGACAAATCAAAACAAAAATTGCGGTAATTTTTCCGACTCCAAAATGCACTTATCCATTCGTACCATTCAAGCCAATATGTTTTTCGGGCTAGTGACGATGTATGTTTTCATACTTTCGACGGGCTTGTGTGGAAAAATCAGTTAAAATATCGATTTTTTCTTTACAAGATTACGTCCTTGTTTCAACCCTTTAGTCACTTGCAACAGAATTGCAGCAGTCGGCAACGTGATCCATTATCAGTACATCATTTTTTGAATATTAGAAAACGCCCATCTACCTCAATGACATGTATAGATAAAAAGAAAACTTTCGTCGTCTGATTTACATATGGATAAGCAATCTATGTATCTATGTACATCATTGGGTGTTTTCAACCATCCCGACAAGTTGAGAATAATTTTATTACATGATTTTTTAAATGTGTTTATGAAAGTTATTTAAATAACAATGGGTACATAAGTAGTATCGGTTGCACATAGAGATAGTGTACTTCAAATTCTTTTGTATATTATGTATTTTGTATATTATGCAAATACCACCTAACTTAAGTAATGTTACTGAAATTAACAAACATTTTAATTCATCTCCTACTACTCTGAAGTCACATGACCAATTAGCCTTACTTGATCGGTACTATGAAAATATATATGAAAATAAATTCGAATTTAAATCTGTCTCTTCTGATACAGTTCGAAAATCTCTAAATCGTATAAAAAGTCATGCCGTTGGTTTAGATAACATATCACTGCGCATGATACAGTTAGTAGAAAATTATTTAATCAATCATTTAACATTTATTTTTAATAAAATAATTTCTTCGTCTCATTATCCACTTTCGTGGAAACGGGCCTTTATTATTCCGCTTGCTAAATGTAATCAACCTACTAGCTTATCTGACTTGCGTCCTATTAGTATTCTACCAACCCTTTCTAAATCGTTTGAATTTATACTTAAAGATCAAATTAGCAAATATGTATATGACCAAAATATAATAACTCCAGCTCAATCTGGCTTTAGAATGCACCATAGTACGACCACTGCCCTCTTATCTATCACGGATGACCTTTTTAAAGCGACAGACCTGGGAAAAGTCACATGTTTGGTTCTTCTTGATTATAGCAAAGCATTTGATACTTTAGATCATCCAACACTTTGCAAAAAACTGAAATTTTTCGGTTTTTCTCATAAATCCGTTCGTCTAATATCAAATTTTCTTAGCAATCGTACTCATAAAGTTATTTTGGAAGCTGATGTATCCAGCAGCCTACCCGTTAGTCAAGGTGTTCCGCAGGGATCCATTCTGGGACCATTGCTGTTTTCACTATATATAGCAGATTTTCATAGTTTTGTTAAAAATTGTGTGATCCATCATTATGCAGATGATACCCAGTTATATCACTCGTTTAATAATAAGTGCTTACTTACTGCCCAAAATCTTATTAACGACGATTTAAATGCATTACTTGATATTTCTACAGCTCACAACCTCAAAATAAATTCTAAAAAATCATCCATCATGTTATTTGGCCCCAAAAAATTAAGACAATTAACAATAAACGCATTACAAATTAAATTAGGCGATGCTCTTCTTCAATTCACGAATGAAGGAAAAAACTTAGGTCTCTGGTTAGATTCTGATCTTCGCTTTAGTAAACATACCTCCACCATATCTCAAAGTTCGTTCAACGTCTTGAGACAGTTGTACCCTAACCGAGACCTGCTTTCCACACAACTCAAACTTAAACTTTGTGAATCTCTCATTTTTTCCAAACTCAGTTATTGTGATTCCATCTACGGTCCAGCCCTACTCCAATCCGATTCCGCTCGTTTACAAAAAATCCAGAATAGCTGTCTACGTTTCGCCTATGGAATTCGAAAATTTGATCATATCTCGAATAAAATGAAAGAATCAGGTTGGTTGACTTTCAATAACTATCGCCTTTTGCATTTATTAACCCAAGTTCACAAAGTTTTACTCATACAGAAACCTGATTATTTAGTTAACAAATTAAAGACATTTTCCAATATTAATGAATTTCCTACGCGGAATCGAATGACCTTGGTGGTACCGAATCATAACACGGCTCTATTTAAAAGATGTTTTTCGTATGTTGCATGTAAAGAGTACAATAAACTTACAAATGAATTTAAATCATATAGCTTAATTTCAAGAAACGCCTAAAAGATTCTTTGTTCAATAAGCAATGGTCATAAAAAAATATATTATATAATGCAACGAATTTGGTTTTGAAAATCTGTTTATTTTTTATACTTTTTTTTCTCTATTATATTATATTATATTATATTATTATATTTCAATGTTATTTACAGGTTAAGTTGTAAATCAGCACAAGCTGAACTTCACCTTTTCATCTACCTTATATATGTATATATTTACACTTATACTAAAACTTGATGAATAAAGACGCTTTATTATTATTATTTATTATTATAAATTATAAAAACTGCGATATTTCTTTCCTAAAAATCTTCAAATATTCATTTTCTAAAATCTAAAAATGTAATAGTGAATACAATTTTATACGTCAAAATTAGGAAAAATCTACATATGTAACACGTTACAAAATGCTGTTTTGCGGAACCTCGCTCCACTCCTCCCGCAAATATTAACTAGTTACACAAATTGGGCATTTCGCAACTGGTCATATAATTAACAATTGTATACCATTTTCCATTTAAAAAATGCAAAATGTTTTACATTATGTATTTAAATTAATCCCGAAATGCGAAAATAACTATTACCTAATGTTTCTACATCTGAAGAAAATTATTTTTTATACAATTAGCCACTAATCCTCCGAAGAGAAAAATACTTACTGGATCATCAGTAGCATCACTCATTCTATCTTGCGGACTTTTACCATGTTTCGGCCTTATTAAGACATAAATATTCTTAATTCCACTACTTGACCTCAACAATTTTTCCACTAACAATTTTCCTAAAAACCCTGAGGCACCTGTTATAAACACATTTTTGTTTTGATAAAATTCGGGTATGGTAATATTACTTTCAACATTTCTCCACATTTTGATATAAATGGCATGAATTTCAATTGTCCAGTTTATATAGGAATGATAATGCGCAATTGTTTGTTTATGAAAAAAATGGTATTTTTAATAACTGCAGTGTCCAATGCCATATTTTTAAATAATGTCTTATTCATTTTTTAATAAATTTATAAACATTATGTATGCTCCATTCAATGTTGCCAGTTGAAGTTTTTCTGGAACAGTAGGTGGGTGGGAAAAACATCATCGAAACTGTAGATTTTAATACAGGAGGAAATAATTATAATTTACAGTATAATAAAAAAATGTAAAAGGTTAAGGTATACAAAAAAAAACACTCGCTAAAAAATATTTACATCAAGGAAAAGGGGGGTAATTTAATAGGAGGGAAAAAACGAGCAAATGGAAAGATGGAAACAATACTTCCAAAAATTACCTGAACGGCAGAAAGCAGAAAAAGAAGAAGCAGCAGAAGAGAAAGAAGAAGCAAATGAAAACCCTATGTACACCGCTGAGGAACCCACAGAAGAAGAGATAATAGAAATTATTTCAAATATGAAGAATAATAAAAGCCCCGGATCAAACAAAATTACCACAGATAACCTAAAATATGGAGGACAATAACTAACAACAGAAATAGTACTACTAATCAAAGAAATATGGAAAGCGGAAGAAATGCCACTAAATTGGACAAAAGCAGTAATACTGTCAATATATAAGAAAGGGGACCCAGCAGACTGTGAAAACTATCGAGGTATAGCTTTGTTGGATGTTACATATAAGGTACTAGCCAGTAGCCACGATAATAAAAAGAAGAATATAAGTAGAAGGAGAAAAAATTATCGGAGAATACCACTGCGGCTTTAGAAAAGGCAGGTCAACGACTGACCAAATATTTATTTTAAAACAGGTACTCACATGTTGCTACGAATACGAAATACCGACCCATATTATGTTTATTGATTTTAAAAGTGCATATGATACAGTAAATCGACGAAAATTGGTAAATGCTCTGAAAGAACTAAAAATACTACTTAAACTTGTAAAACTGACGAACATGACCCTGGAAAATACAAGGTGTGCAATAAGAGTAGGAGGTGAGGAAACCAAAAAGGACTTACTTAGGCAGGAAGACCCATTATCCACCCTTCTTTTTAACTTAACCCTTGAAATAGTCATCAGAAACAGTGGAATAAACAGATATGGAACCCTGATCAACAGATCCCACCAAGCATTAGCATACGCAGATGATGTACTGTTAGCGAGAAGCCAAAAAGAATTTAAAAACATAACATAACAGTTATTAGACGCGGCAGGTACAATAGGGCTAAGAATAAATGAAAAGAAAAGTCAGTACATGCAACTTAGAAACAAACATTTAAGTAAAAATCCTGGAAAGCTGGAATTACAAACTAAAACCATAGGAAAAATAACAATAGATGAAACAGACAGTTACATGTACCCCGGTGTGCTTATTACAAATAGATGCGAAGAACAAGCTGAAATAGATCTACGTCTTGCAAAGAGCAATAGATGCGCAGGAGCTTTACATAACACAGGGCAACAAAAAAAAATTTTTTTTTGGTGCCTGAGATTTTAGAGCTGATTTTAACTATATTTGGGACGCTAAATCTGTACATGCAATCCGTTTTTCTCTATCAGCTCTACTTTTTTAGATACATCAACTTATCTACCAATGTGGTTTTTATTCAGTATATTCATTTATGAGAGTTCTAAAATTATTATATATTCATTAATGCAGGTACAATGGTTTTATTGTCAGTCTGTAATTGAGTAAATTCCAGGTAAATCTATAAATAGTGGAACCATTGCCTATCAGGTACCAGAACTGACCCTTTTAATCCCCTAACTCGGCTAAGTTTCGTCAGTTTGTGCGTTCTTACTATTTGATATTAAGAAAAGAGTGTTTTTGTGTTACTGAACAGAATTAAAATGAGTGCTATGTATGCGGAGAATACATGTTTCAACAAAACAGACAAACTATTACTGACTTTGTAAAGCGAGCGTATCTTGGATATTTTGGAGTTAACCTCGGTGATCAGGACAAAAAGTGGGCGCCGCATCTCGTATGTAAAACGTTTCACCCCCACCGTTTCGCCCCTGCCGTTTCGCCCCCGCCGTTTCGCCCCCGCCGTTTCGCCCCAGCCGTTTCCTCCCCGGCGCCGATTGGCCCCCGAACGGTTCGCCCCCGTTATTATTTAAGCATAAGAAATGTTATTATGTTATAATTTTAGTTCAATATTGTATGAATCGTTTAATGATTGAACACTTCAGGTATAGTGGTATAAATACAGATGGGGGATCCAATACTGAATACTATCAGTCGTTACTATTTTTTGAGTGAGTTAGTTAATAAATTCAAACACAACATATAATGGCAACTGCTTTAGAAAATGTTCACGCAAATATATCAACGTTTCTTTCTAAAAAGGACCCTCTCAGAAAAGTTATCCAAATAAAAAGAAAAGTTGAAAATATGCCGCCTATGTCGCATATGTATCGACACCTATTTGGGGGCAATTTTTTTGTCAGAATCCAATAAAACTATGTCAAATAGTATATAAATGGACTCATTTTTATTTACAAAAATTCTTGGGGGCGAAACGGTAGGGGGCGAAACGGTAGGGGGCGAAACGGTATGGGGGCGAAACCTCCAAAGGCGAAACGGCGAGGGCAAAACAGTGGGGGCCAAACGGCGGGGGCGAAACGTAATACAACCATGTAAAACTTGTACAGAGCATTTACGGTAGTGGACTACCGGGAAAAGAAAATGTCTAAAATTCGGCGTACCAATGGTTTGGAGAGAACCAAAAAACCACTTCAATGATTGTTATTTCTGTTTAGCAAATCCTAAAGGAATCAATCGAAATAATGGCAGTAAATGGATTTATCCCAATGTAGACTCGGCAATACGCTCTATCCCGCACTCAGATGAAATACCGATTCCAACATTTCATCAGCTACCAGATATCTCTGATGACGAATATTTTCCCTCTGATCGCTGTTCTGATGCTAATGAAACTAACAGTGACTATGAGGAGACGGGTTGGAGACGTCATCAGTTCCTCAACGCTTCAATCAAAATGAATTAAATGATTTCACCAGGGATCTTAATTTATCGAAAAAAGCTTCTGAAGTACTGGCTTCTAGGTTGAACGACAAAAATTTATTGGAACAAGGAACAAAAATTATCTTTTACCGTACAAGAGAAAAATATCTGCTACCATTCTTTTCTCATGAAGACAATCTTGTATTTTACCACGAAATTAATGGAGTCATGAAAGAAATGGGACTTTCTGAATATATTCCTGATGATTGGCGCTTATTTATTGACAGTTCAAAGCGAAGTTTAAAATGTGTCCTTCTACATAATGGGAAGAAATATGGTTCAATACCACTAGCTCACTCAACGAAACTGAAAGAAGAATATAATACCGTAGCTTTGGTCTTGCAGAAGATAAAGTATCACGAACATCAATGGACGATTTGTGTAGACTTAAAAATGGTAAACTTTCTTCTTGGGCAGCAAAGTGGTTACACGAAATATCCGTGTTTCTTGTGCCTCTGGGATATTAGGGACAAAACACACCACTGGGTTAGAAAAGATTGGCCTCAAAGAGAAAACATGGACGTTGGGGAAAAGAACGTCATTAAGGACGCTTTGGTTGAAAGAGAAAAAATCATACTTCCTCCGTTACATATAAAATTGGGCTTAATGAAGCAATTTGTAAAGGCTCTTGATAAGAATGGGTCATGTTTTGCATATATAGGGGCAAAAATGCATCAGTTGAGCACAGAAAAACTCAAAGCAGGGATATTTGACGGCCCACAAATAAGACAATTAATTAAGGATCCTGCCTTCATAAATTCAATGAATCAAGTTGAACGACATTTTTTGCAAATGTAGAAAATTTTCTAGGCAAACATAAAGCTCAAAACTATGTTGAAATGGTTAACAAGATGCTTAATAGTTTCAAATCCTTAGGGTGCAATATGAGTATTAAATTTTTCAAATCTTGGCCATTTACAACATAACCCATTTTGTAACCTTTTGTGTAATATTTATGAAACATTTATAAAACATTTTCAGTAAAATATTTTAGAAACGTGTGCTTCTAATGTTATGTGTTTAAAACGTTTAAAAAACGTCTGAAACACTTTTGAAATAATGTGTGCTCTATGGGAAGTACCCCCAGATGCTCCAATTAAGCCCAAAATCTAATCAACCCATTAGAAGATGGATTAAAGTTAACAAAAAGTTATTCGACATGAAAAGTTCTTCATGACTTAAAACCTAAAATTCAATTACTTGATACCAAATTTTATCAGTCGTATACGAGGTTTATCAAAAATAAAGGTACTTTATTCTTGAGCAAACTTTATATTTTTTGACCAACCTCGTATACGGCTTAAAAAAATGTGATATCTGATGATTGCATTTTAGGTTTTGGACCATGCACAACTTTTTATGCTAAATACATTTTTTTGATAAAACTAATAATAAAAAAGTTTTCCATATGTAGCCAACTTCCGTAGACACATTGTAGATAAAAAATGTATTAATATAATATAAAAAGAAATTATTCTATATAAAAATTTGGGCACAGAACATAGAAACCACCCTGAGATGAAGATAATTCTCATTGCTCTAAAAATTGATAAATGAAATAAATTAAAAATTAATTATCTAGCCGAGGTAAGCTCACTATTATTTATCAATCTAATAAATTATAAAATAAATTGTTCTTTTCTCAATAAAAACGAGAATTTCAAATTTCATAACAATATAATGTAAAGATAAATAAAAAAAATCTTGTTTTATGAAAGTTACAGTTGCAGCTCCTCTTGTACAGCACTCGGTATATAATTTTTATATTAAACCGAAAGGACCTTCTCAGGTAAAACTAAATAGGTGACATTCATTATATTACTATAATATTGGTACCGATCTTTGATTTATATGCATTTGGACAAATTATGTTCTTCAAAGTTGTACC